TCAGGGTAGAGGTTTAAACCAAAGTGAGCCTGTTTTTTGCAACTTCCACTTCAGAAAAAGACAGTTTTACATTTGCAAATAAATGCACTGTTCAGCAGAACACTAGTCTTCCACCAGTTACTTTCCTAAACAGGAGACTTTCCTATGAGATGCTGGATGCCTGCTCTTTTTGGCAGAGGAGGTTAGTGCCAGAGGGCGTTGGTCTGTTTTCTGAAAGGGATTGACAGAGTTTTCCCTATGTGTCATGAAAGCTTTTGGTAAAATTAGATTCTGCCCTGTCCACAACAATAAAGGCCGTACCCACATGCAGCTTACATAGTTCATACACTTCCTGGAGCAAAACAGCACCAACGTTTGTCTGGGGTTTTTTTTTGTTTTCACAATGGCTCCAAAATCAGGTGTCTGCTCATGTGTTGTCACTGCCACCAAGGGCCCGGGGTGACAGAGCATAAACCAGGCAGAATATATTCATCAATCAAACAGCACAGTGCAGACAGGTCAGCATCACCCTGGGCCTGTGGTCATGTTCAAATTTTGATAGATAATTGTTTAAACAACAGCAACAAATCATGTCTCTTTGAGGATCTGTGTGCATTCCTCCATTAGACCTGATTTGGTCTGATGGTGAGGGCAGGCTGTTGAAAGGAAGAGCAGGGGCTGAATTATCCTATGACTTTGCTAAATTTGTCCTTTTGAATGGAGAGAGAGTGAAAAACTTGTCTGCAGGGGGAGCTGTCAGGAACAGCTGGAATATATATACTGTGTCATGTCTTTTTGTGGCACTGGGCTTTTCTGCTTGCTGACAGGATGCTGCAGAGGCATGTTAGCATTCTGCTGAGTAAGCGTGGTGCAAGTTCCATATGTAGACAGGGATCAGTCGCTATATCAGTTGAGATAACTTTGGGACCTCTTTCTACTTTTATACCTATAAATTTGTGAATGAAATAAATCCTTCTGGTTTTTTTCCATCCTGATTATCCATTTGTGCACAAGGAAATAAGAACTTTTACTACTCTCAATAATAACACCACCAGTTTCTGTGCAACATGGAAATGGATAAGCTTAAATAGGAGACTTAATTTCTATCAGGGGTCTGTCAAGTCCCATCAATGCAAGTAGCCATTTTGTTCTCTTCTGCTTTATTAGTAGTCAACTGTTGTTTTGCTCTGAAAAATCCATAGCTTAAGTTGGGAAATGAAAGGCATATAGCAATATTTCCATGACAAGCAGAGAATTCTCTTAGGGATCTGGCTGATGTGAGCTGCACACACATCCAGGGTCAAATTGATCATGGTAGCTCTGATTTTTGCTAGTGGAACATTTGAGGTTAGTCTGGTGAAGGCAGTGTTGGTTTCTGTAGCAAAATTTTGACAGAGGGGCTGCAGGGGTGGCATCTATGAGAAGCAGTCAGATGCTTCCTCCAACAGAGCCAAGACCAGCTGGCCCCAATACAGACATGCCACTGGCCAAGGCTGAGCTAATCCATGACAGTGGTAGCGCCTCTAGGATAATGTACTTGGGAAGGGAGACAAAAACCTATTCAGCAGTAGAAGAAAGGATTGAGAACTTTCCATTCTGTTTCCAACATCAGTTCACCCTCTACATATGTCTTCAACTGTGTAGAGTTTAATTTTTAAAACAAAGACCATGTCATTCACCATCATGATGATAGATTTAAGAAAATCATTTTATGATTTAAATGTGGCTGAATAATTTCAGTTGAATCAATTGCATGGATCAGAACAAAAGTGAAATCCCACTTCTCCCATCAGGATGAGATACCATTCATTTTTGAACCTGTTATTGTCAAACACATGCATGAGTGATATATTATCGGCACAATGAAATTTGTCAGTGTAAGAAAATAACTATTTGCTCTTTTAATGTTTGGAGCACAAATATCAAGAAGGCACAGCACCTTTCATAACAAATATGTTAACCCCCACATGCTCTGCTTAGTTATGGCTTCCTGTATTTCTCCTCAGGCTACTGGCACCGTAAGTAAGCTGGAGCAGATTTTATTTATTCTGAATGTGCTGAGTGCAAATGTCTGGGCAGGTGCTTTGCAGGCAGCTGAGCCTTTTGAGCAGTTTCAGAGGACAGGGTCTGTCTGACAGAGGAGTGGCACATCGAGCAGGGAACAGAATCACTGCACCCCTCCCTGTCACCATGGCTACCACTCAGCAGGCAGATTTTGGGCAGAAGTGCCAATTTAAGAAACTGCTGATTTCTTCTTATTGCCCCTGCATCACCCCCTCCCTTGATAAGGTACATGCTATTGCAGGCCACAGCATTTATCAGATCAGGAAACTAGTCCTGATACAACTGGAAAATAATCTCTCTATTTTTTTGACTCATTCTTTTCCAGACAGTCAGGTTTGTGATTCAGTTCCTCATGTAGACACACATCATGTCTGCACGGCGAAGGAGATGGAAGAAGTGCAAGGACAAGGATGGGGACAGCTGGTGATTTAAGCAGCATTATCACTGACCACAGGAAAGACAGAGCCAGAGATCTCCTTCAGGCTGTGGTCTGCTATACAATGTTTAAATTCATTTGGTACCCTGTTGGAACCTTAGATACAATGAATTTTATACTTTCTTTGCTGACAGGCGCAGACCTACAAGAGAACACTGTGTTTGACCTGAGGTTATAGAAAAAGCTTCTAAAATTGATAAATAGAACTAAAACTATAAGTGTGTAGTTTAAATAGAAGTTTTAACACTTAGTGGAAAATTTAAACTTTAAGGTTTTGAGAATATAGTCACATATATGCAACAAAATGTAAGTTTTAAAGCATTAACTTGCCGTGTTCTTTTACTTTCTTCTTCATGTATTTTAGTAATATTGTGTGATTAGATAGAAAAATCCCCAGTGTGGGAACATGAGTGTTTAGTTATTACGTTATATGTAAAAATAAGTTAGTTGGCATTTTATAATTAGGTAGTTAACACTTAAAAGGCTTTAAAGAAAAATACTTAAGGCTTTATTTTCTAGACTCTTAGCTTAGTGTGTAAATGAACTGTCTGTAAGAATGTAATATAAATAAAAAAACAATCAACTAAGTCCAAACACAAAAACCGTCTCTCAAACGCTCATTAATCCCGACCTTTAAAAAAAAACCTTAAAACATTTTACAGTAGCCCAGGCTCCTTTTTCCCCTGTCCTTTCCCCCTTCCCATTCCCTCTGCTGCCTTTCTACAAGTGGTTATGCAACTGCACAAGGGAAGCCATCTGTCTGAAGGATGATCCAGTAAAAAATGGATATTGTTAGGACAGTGCAGGGATAACAAATGAAGTGTATCCCAACACATTTTATTTTGACATTTGGACATTTTAAGGCTTTTTGTTTAAGGCAACTGTATCTGTCAGGGTGACACAGGCAAGTCACATAGGGAAGAAAAGTAAGTTCCTTCCCTTAATAAGTTCCATGGCTGGGTATATATCTCTCCAAGAAGAAGTGTTACAAAGCCTTGTTCACAAACCTGCTATTAAACGTGTGAAGTTCTTAAAACATCACTGTGGATAATGGACAAATGGAGCTGAGTGAAGGTGGTAGTAGAATAGAAGGTAGGGAATTAAATAATACTGCAAGACTGCATGAGACCCATTTTCAAATAAAAACATATCTAAAAATGTCAGAGCACATTTGAAATATGTTCATAGTTTATTCATGATGGTTTTCATTTATTCTACGATTCTTTTGAGACCTGTGATAGTGTGAAGCACTAGCAACAGGAATCTATGAGTTTGTACAGATTTATTTATATTTTTATATGAATTTACATAGGGCCTACCTTTATACAGTTATGCCATTTACAGTACATGCTATATTAGTTATAATAAATACATGTTTCAATCACATTTTTTCTTAAAAACTTGAAAAACACTACCACGTTTCTAGTTTGTGAGAATCCAGAAGTGACACTGCCCGCCCTGCCAAAGAGCCCCTGCAGAGACCTGAAAAATTCTGTGAACACATTAAACTCTCTCATGGGCCTGCTAGTGCTGATCACACCTTGCAGAGCCAGACTACACAGCAAGTGCTGTGCCTGGCCAGGGGCACATGAGATTCCTCTGAAATAACAGACTTGTGAAATCAGTGAAGAACCACTGTGTCCAATTTAAGTAAGTCAGAGTTTAAAAGTCTTCTGAAAAATGAACACAGACTGCCCTGTCCTTGAAAAGGCAAGAGTTTCCCACTCTGGCAAGAGGCACAAACTACAAGTATATCAGCAATATTAGGCACTCTGTGGGTGTATTTTTTAGCTGTGACAGTGGAGTGGCAGCCCCCTTGTAGTCACTTTCTGAAAAAGTATGTTTCTAAAATATCTGTGATGATGTAAGCAGAAAAATCAAGTTTATTCCTATTAAATTCATACAGGAGGCTAAATGCTACTGAAAAAACTGCAAAATCCACTGACTAATCCATTTTGTTAGATGTTAGAAGCTGTAGTGGAGGTTTCAGTGGGGACTGACCCCACCGGCGCTGGTTTTGCCTCCCGCTCCGGCCAGAACCCTTCTCGTGCCGAGTCTCCACGGTACTTGACGGGGACCTCCGCAGTCACCGCTGCCTCCGGCGCTCACACGGCTCACCCGCGGGCTCGCCCACCCCCCTCCGCCGGGCAGGGACAGCCAGCATCCCCGAGGTGCAGGGCCGGGCTATCCGGAGCGATGTGCGGCCGTGCGCGGGAGCCGCCCGCTGCCGGGGGTGTCGCTGGCGGGGGTGTCATTGCCGGCGGCGGCGAGCCCCGGCCGCCCATCACGTGCTCGGTGTGTTGCATTGTGCTGGCGGCGGAGGGAGGGCTGGCCGTGTCAGTGATCAATGTCATGACTTCTTCCGCGGGCTGGAGCCGCAGCAGAGCGCAGCTGAAGGAAGCCGATTGCTGCGGGTGCCAACTGGCTGGGAACAAAACACCAGCCTCGCACACACCGGCGTACACACGGGCGGACACGGCACGCACAGGCACACGCACACACATCCCAGCACACACCAGCGCACACACACGCACGGACGGACACACACCCGCACGCACACGCGCACGTAACAAGCACACACGCACAGGCAGCCCGCACCCTGGCTCCCGCTCCGCCACCCCGCGCCCAGGGGGAAGATGAGCTCGGGGGACGTGGTTTGCACCGGATGGCTTATCAAATCACCCCCCGAGAAGAAACTCAAGAGATACGTAAGTGCAGACGCTTTGCTGATATCTTTTTCTCGGTAAAGGTATTTTGGCATGCGCTCGCTGTCTTACTCTTCCTTTGAGATCTCTCGCCCGCTTCGGCTTCGCCTTGGACCAGAACAAAAAGACTTCCAAGTCCATGCGCTTATGGAGTATTTTAGTTTCCAACGCCATTCTTGTGCCCTCTGGAATTAACCTTTCTCGGCTTTTAAGATTATAGTACTTCAGCTGTTATGCAACATATTTTAGGTTAAAAACCACATTTCGGTTTCAGTTAACGTTGCTGTAACTAACAGAATTGTTGTAATAGAATTGCAGATGTCACTTTTCCAGGGACGGACAAGAACACCCTAAAAAGAAAGGCGGGGGGGGAGACCCAAATAGCCAAAATTCTAAAAATTTAAATTCTGAGGCTTGGCTTTGTTAAGATGCTCTGTAATTTCTATGACAATTGCTACAGGCAACATATAAAATAGTTTTATTTACCAATGCCAGATGCAGTTGTTAGCAGAAAGCTTCAGAAAGCTTTTTGGTCTGAGATAAAGAGGTGGTAGAAGATGCTATGCTGTAAAGTTCCTGATAGCTGAAAGGTGAAGGGGGCTGGGGAGAAGAAGCGAGCCCTGCGTGGAGATCTGCAACTGCACTATGGGCCCCTTGTTTCATTCTCTATCGGCTTGCCTGTTTGTCTGAATTAAGAGGGGGGGAAAAAAAAAAAAAGGATGTGTGTTGCAAACATAGGAAACTGTATCATTGCAGGGGTGCAAGGAAAGCACTCCGTGTAGGAATAAATAACCCATAAGCATTTGCTTGGGACAGCATTAAAAACGTAAGCTCCTCGTGGGCCATTTTGCATACTCATTTGTGATGGTTCATCAGGCATGTTGTTACGTTCTGCTGTGACACTTTTGGAATTGGTATTAGCCGTTTGAGTCATGGCCTTCTAACCTGACTTCCCCTAGAGCTCTGCACCATACTCGAAGGTTGCCACTGGCCGTGTCTCTAGCGCTCCAAGCCATATACACAGCTTACATCATTTGTCATATTCACTTCTGTTTATCAGCATTTTCTCTGGAGTGCTGATGTTAGCTTTTCCTCATAATATGAGGCATAACTGTCTTGTGGAAGAATATGGTGGATATAATTTGGTAGTGTATTTTTTCTTTGGCTAAAAACTAGCCAAAGAAATAGTTTACTGAATAGAAGAAATAATTTACTGATGATGGAATTATTTTTAATTTATTCTAATCTAGAGTTTCTTCCTGTAGACCACAGTATTGCAGTGAAGTTGCTGAATATTTGGTTTATTCAGTTAGCATTTTCCAATTCTAAAATAACCACTATGATGTGTCTCACAGGAGCTGCAAATAAATTATGGGCATCTCATTTTTGCTATATTTTGAAACGAGTATACTAATAGGCACTGTATGGCAGACACAGTGTAAGAGCCTCTGATTCACCCAGCTGGTATCATTAGTAACTCTGTCAGTGAAGCTACTTTTGATGACTCAATATTCATAAAAGGGCAAAGTAGAGAAAACAGAATGTGATAAAGCTGGGATCTGAAAGCCCCCATTATACAGTCAAGATAATAGTCACAACAGGGGCTCTGATCAGCTCACAAGGCTGCTTGCAGACTGCTCGGCTCAGATTTTGCGCTACAAAAGCAGGGGAAATTTGGTCTATGTTATTCTCCAAATATCAACCACTAGATTAGCCAGATCTCTCCAGATTAAGCTTTGTTTTCTGGTTAGGAGGATAAGGTAGTCCTTTGTCCTTAATAAAGCAGAAAGAAATCTGCTGCAAGTACAGCAATGCTTAATGTTTTTTCTCATATGACTGGTTACACAGTGGATGCTGCAAACCAAATGGAAATTGTCTCTCACCTGCTGTAAACTACTTTTCCCCTAGTTTTCGTAGAGTTTCACCAGCATGGCAGCACGTGCATCTTGCACTGGGGTAGCAGATAGCTCAGGCTGAACCACAGTGGCTGCTTAAAAACAACAGAGCTTTAAAACAATGACTGTTTAACTGACTTCAGTAGGTGTCAAGTGTCAACCGCTTACAGGAGAATAGTGTTGGCTCTGATTCTGAACTGACAACATACATAAATCCAATCCCCGAGTTCAACACCACCCTTTGTTTTCAACTGGAAAAGCCCATGGTCTAAGCCGATGCTTCCAAGGAGCTTCAAGTGCCAGCTTGGCCTGCTGCTCATTGGACCTCTTGTGCACTGCCCAGCCTCATTTGCTCTCATGGGGTTGTCTTCCAGTTTACATTTTCCTGAGTTCAGCATCCGGCCTTTGTAAGGTCTGACCTGAGGGTCCCGTGTTTTACACACAGATAAATTCTTAATCCTTCATCTATTACATATGTCACTAAGAAAATCCATTACATTTCAGTGGAATATGTGGTTAAATGATCAGACAAAGCAATGAATTCAGGTTGTGAGACTGGGAACTGCAATAGTCCTGATGAAGCCACTGGGAATATTTGCAGTGTTTATAAAATTTAAAAAATTAATCTTTCCAAGACTAGAGCCTAAAGACCAAAGTATACCTTCATTTATATTTGTTTTCTGATGAAAGCAATTAGGTTTTCTATGCATAAGCAAGTCAGAATTTGCCTCTAGGTAAGCAGAACATTATTTTCAAAACTTTAAAAGTGAAAAGCAGGTGTTAAGAGTCTATATTTTTCCTGTAATGTTTTACAAAGCCAATGCTCTTAGTAGCACTATTCTTAGAAGTGTCTTATCATTCCCTAACAAAGGCTGCTATCTTGCATGTGCAGGAAACGAACATGAGATTAATTACCCATGTGTTAACTTTCTGAAAAAACAGAGAATTTAGTGCTAAACACAAGGAATTCATTAGAAAGCACAGGAGCTTTGCTACAGCAGGCAAATACTCCAATAGTGATTTAACAGCATCGACAATGCTTTTCTCTCTATCTGATACTTGAACCATGAAACCACCATGTCAGCCTATCTATAGAGGCAGTTGTGCAAGGAGTCTCCCAGGAGAGTATCTGGTGTGTGTTGCAGTTCTTTGTCCTCTAAGTGTGACCCAAAAGCTGTGCTGCTTTCATTTCCCCACTTGGCTTCAGCTTTTCTCATCAACCAGGTCTGCATGGGCCTGAGGGGTGCCAGGGAACAGCCAAAGCTGGGGAGAAGCTAGGTATGTGGCAGGAGACAGAGAGGAAGAAGCTGCTAACAAAAACTAAATAGTGGTGGTGATGGAGGTAAAGTCCATCCTGCTCTAGACCAAAAATATTAAGTATCAGTCATAGCTTGACATTCAGCCCCTCAGGAGGAAAATGCACTGAAGATTTTTTGCTGGTGATGTTAGCAGATCAGTGAATACCAGCCTCTGTAGGAAATTAGATGAATTGGGGGAATATGCTTCAAATCTGATGGGTTTCACAGTTCCTTATATTGATGCTGAGTACATCCATCCCAATTCTGTAATGTCAGCATTGAGTAGCTGTCTCCTTGATACTTTTCATGTGGAAATATATCTGATCACTGACTGTTATTATTTGCTATTTATTTATTGGAGGAGGTGGAAGAAAAAAATGGTTTAATGGCCTTGAAAAACAAAGGACTTAACACAGCCAGTGCAAAAAATCATGATGAAAGGAAAAACAACATAGAAGAAGGCCCAGAGAATGTCTAATGAAATAAGAGACGAGTGCTATTGAGAAGACACATTGCTCATGTGCTGACAAGGAGATGGGATTTTTAACACACAGCTAATTGTTTGTCCCATTGTTTGACACACCAGTGTGGAACAGCAGTGGTAGCTCCAGTGTTTACTGGCTGTTAGTGTTAAGTGGTTTGCAGTAGTAAAGGGCCATATACAGATACTTGCCTGTTGTGAGTCACTGCAGTTCCATTTAAGTCAACACTGTGCAGCTGTACCCCAGCTGAAGAGCTATTTTTAATCTTCAGTACTATAAAATTGATGAGGGAAGACCACTTGCTCAAAAAAGGGTAAGTTTCCCACTTTACTTGAGTGACTCATTTCTTCAAACATTGTTAAAAATCAAAATTCCTTGTCAGCATCTCTAGAACTAGAGTCTCAAATGGACCCCATATTATAAAATATAGCCTTTTTCTTCCTACCACACTTCTTGGAGTGTCTGGTCTGAGAAGACAAATAGAGGTATAAATTAATGTACCCTATGGCAAAAGCTGGTGGAGCAGTGTTTGTTGCTGCTATGTCTGTGTGTGGGGCAGTAAGTGCTGCCAGGAGGACACAGCAGAGCCCAGCCCAACATCTCTGACCGTTAGGGGATCTGCCAGGACCCAACCGCAGCACACCAAGGCTGGGGGTTTAGAAGATAAGAGAATCTAGGCTACTTCTCCATTTTTAGCTGAAGTTCTGGCATTTATCAGGAGAACAAACAGGAAGTTACTAAGAAGAAAAAGTAAAGTAGAATTATGGAAGAGTTTGCTCAAGTAATAGGAACAGGAGTTGCAGAGCACTGCAAAGGGCAGGTGGGATGGAGAGCCTCTGCTCTCTGATCCAGCGTTGGGCTGCTCTCACCAGAGGACACCACCACCCTCCCCTGAAAGAAATCCCCAAGTGCTCTGTAAGGCTAATTCTTCTGCTGGTTTGGGGTTTGGGGGAAGTTTCTGAAAAATACTAACAAGAAGAAACAGAAATTTAATTTTTATCATTAAGTCTTTTATTTCCAAATGCTTCTTACAAAGCCTCACCTTTTGAGTCCTGTCCCTTTTGAACAGAGAATTCTGACCACCTTTCATACTTTCCTAGAATAAATATCTCAAGCTCCCTGAGTTTATTTAACCAATTTGTGCAGGTTTTGTAACTGTGGTTCATAGGCTCGGTGGAAATAGGAGTCACATGGGGTGCAGAAAGTTGTCAGAGCCTTTTAGCTCATTCCAATTGTAAGGTTTGTGCCTGTTTTTTTCTGTTGTTACTTCATTTTAAAATTCAGTGTATGTTATATCGATCTGGTTTGTATATTAAAAAATAACTGAA